TCAACAAACCTCTTCCTTAATTGAAAAGAACAGGAACCAAATCACCTTACCAGTTGAGGTTTGTGGGAAGCTGATGTCTGTTTTCACAACTAGCTTAGATGAGGATTACGTGAAGAATATTGTCTACAAGACAAAGGCAACTAACCTGGCAGCATTAAGTACCCAAATAACCAACGTAATTGCGATGCTTACTCCAGAAATGTTGACACGTGCGTGAGTGGAAAACAGTTATCGCCAAAGTCTCACTCTATACAATTAATAAAGTGGTTCAGTAATCTATGGACACCCTGAACTTTTCATCCACACAGACTGAGCATTGTTTAATTTTCTATAGTGTGTGTGTGTGTAAAAAGATTGTTTCAACAGTTAAGTAAATATTAATATTAAAAGAAAGGACTGCGTTTAAAACAGCAAAACCAAACCTGTGATGAAAAAAACATTTTAATTATCTAAACAAGCCTTAACAACCACAACATAAAAGCTGCATAAATTTAAAAAACATCACCAGGGTACTAGCTATAATGTGTAATATAAGATGTGTCCTGGGTTTTGGAGGTGGGACCCACATAGCGGTGGGGATACACCGTCTACCAGTCTTAACTTCCCTTCGCTAGTCTCACATAACATAAAATAAGCATGAAAAAAAAGCCCACAACGTCCCACATCTATACCCCCTTTGCTGCCTGCAAACAGATGACTGCTCTACAAAGAAATATAAAATGAAAAAAAAAAAAGACGAAAATAAACAAGGCCTACCGTTGGGGGGTAAGTAAGGGAAACTTACCTCCTGACGTTGGTATTCCAGTAGTAAAAGCCGAAGTTAATATGTTAATTAATAGTACAGTAGACAAATTATACTAGTAAAAAAGTATAAAATACCCAACCAGGTTATGTAAACTAGTACAACTCCCAATCTCCTCCACCCATTAACCCTACTCGTAGAGTCTACCGTAACTACTGCTTTATAATTTATATTCATTTGTAATAATTGTGTTAATACACGCATGAAAATAGTGCCAAGATATTTAAATGATCTTATTAAAAACTAAAAATATTTATCAGGAATGTAATTCTTACTTCTTTATATCTGTGTATTCGATTGTTGCATTTACCACAAAACATTTGATAATTTCTCTTTATTAAATTCAATAAATATTAATTTTTGCATCAATATTTCAACATTAATAATTAAATATATTGTAACTTATTGAATTTGTTTACAGAATTTGAGCAACTTTAAAGCTATAATATTTATAACAGAAAAGTAGAGTGATTTGGTATGGTTTGAATTTCGTGCAAACCAAAACGAGGTCTATCTGCGCTAGCCGTCTCTAATTTAGCAGTGTAAGACTAGATTGAAGGCAGCTGGTCATCACCACCTTCCGCCAACTTTTGGGCTACTCTTTCACCAACGAATAGTGAGATTGACCATCACATTATAACGCCCCCACAGGCTGAAAGGGCAAGCATATTTGGTTGGATGGGGATTCGAGCCCACGACCCTCAAATTGCGACTCAAACGCCCTAATCACCTGGTCATGCCGGGCCTAAGTAGGGTAAAGAACTATTAGGAGAAGGAAGGCAGCTGGCCATCACCACCCACCGCCTACTCTTGGGCTACTCTTTCACCAACGAATAGTGGGATTGACCGTAAATTATAACACCCCCACGGCTGAAAAGGCGAGCATATTCGGTTGGATTGGGATTCGAACCCGCGACCCTCAAATTACGACTCAAACGCCCTAACCACCTGTCTATGCCGGGCCTAAGTAGGGTAAAGTACTATTAGGGTGGTTATCACCACCCACCGTCAACTCTTGGGCTAATCTTTCACCAACGAATAGTGGGGAAGAAAAATTCTTCTTTTAGCAAAAATATTTGCCCCCCAGTGGCACAGCAATATGTCTGCGGACTTACAACGCTAGAATCCGGGTTTCGATACCCGTGGTGGGCAGAGCACAGATAGCCCGTTATGTAGCTTTGTGCTTAATTACAAACAAACAAAGAAAAATATCTAAATTAATATCATGATTAATTATTTTAATTTCAACATCTAAGTAATGTTTATGTTTATTAAATAGCATTTTTGGACGATAATAAATTAGGAAAGAGAAAGAAGAAAAATATAACGTAAAAGGAAAAAAAAAATGAACAAACCGTAGTTTCAGAATGAAGAAACTATTGTTTGGAAATCATGCTGGAATATCTACTACTAAGTACACACAGCTTCGTAAACAGATAAGACCTACTTCTCTGAGAGTTAGGTCCTTTGTCTTTTCGGAATACGCTCTACTGTGCCTCGAGTAAAACCGGGTTTCGATACCCGTGGTGGACAGAGCACAAATAGCCCATTGGGTAGCCTTGTTGTTAACTTCAAACAAACAAATCAAGTAAAATTGTAGAAGAGCTTAGCATCATAATCATGTGTGTTCATAATAACATTTTGCGCATGCGTATATGTAGAAGGCAACAAATTTACAGTAGGTAGTATTTATTGTTGTTGGTCTGTCCACCGCAGGGAATCGCTCCCCGGATTTTAGTATTGTAAGTCCTTAAACTTAGCGCTGACTCACCGGAGGATCGAGAGTGAGTAATATAGATATAAAAAAGCGTTTGTTTAACTAAGAAACTTTAGCTTATCTTTTTCTGAAGCTTATCGGCTTATCAAAACCCGTAAAAATGTATTGGTTTACTTTCTCAGACTGTGCTATTTTAAGTTCTCCTATTGCAGAAAATCTAGATTTCATCCTTTGAACGAGAGATTTTGTTAACAAACAAAATGTTTTTTTGGAACCCTTATTGGCGATAAAACTAAACTTCCTTGTTCAGCTAATATTTTGTTTGCCTCTATCCTCGTACTTAACTAATCACTTTTGTACTCCTAGTGTGTTTGTCTCGAAACTCAAACTTAACTAATCACCCTAGTATGTTTGTCTCTAAACTCAAACTTAACTAATCACCCTAGTATGTTTGTCTCTAAACCTCAAACTTAACTAATCACCCTAAGTATGTTTGTCCCTAAACTCAAATTTATCTAATCATCCTCATATTCGTAGTGTTTGTCTTTATCCTCAAACTTAACTAATCACCCTAGTATGTTTGTCTCTAAACTCA